TTCTACATATTTGTGCTCTCTGGCAAAGTTAATATGAAGGTCCATGGTTAACTATGTTTCGGAAAGTCTCTGAAATAAATGTGATTAACTCTATACATTAATGTTTACATAAATACTAGGTAAATCTGATTTAAACTCATGTACGGTGAAGGGTTTTCCGTCATATCTCACTAGCATGTTTGGTGTCTCCCCAGGTTTGTCCCTGACCTGGAGGACATAGTGAACTTTGAGGAGCTGGTGAAGGAGGAGGGGCTGTCAGAGGAGACCCAGAAAGCTGCTAGGTACGACATTTGAAAACTTGCGCTTAAATGCACATTATAATTCAAATGTAATTCGTCTAGCATTACCCTATTTCTATTTTATGAAGATAATGAGAATCAGCTCCAATGGGCGTTCAATTGTGTAATTCATTTAAATATGTCTGTCAAGCACACACTTGGCTGTGCTTTAGATGTGTCCGCCAGTCAAAATATTGTCTAGATATTTTCAGTGCATTTCCACTCCTCTGCCTGCAGAGGGCGCCACAGCTATAACATTTTTTAAAGGTATGCCTCACACACAAGGGGTAGGCACAGGTAAATATTGTGTGTCTTCTTCTTCTTCTAGTGTCCTAGATTCAGTTTTGGGAGATCTGACCAGCAACTCTGCCGAGGGGACGGAGTACTTCAAGATGCTGGTGGCGGTGTTTGCACCTGAGTTTCGCAGCGCCAAGAATATGCACCTGAGGAACTTCTACATGATCGTGCCGCCTCTGGTCAGTGACAAGACTTTCTAATATGTTTGTATTTTTTTGCAAAGAGGAGGAGGAAAGCTAAATAGCCTTTATTTAGCTTTCCTCCTCCTCTTGTCTTAATTGAAGTTTAGTTATTGAGAACTGATATATATCAAAAATATATCAATTTTTAAAAACAAGCGGAGCTTCCGTCAGAATTTATTATAATTTAAATCTATCCACATTATGTCATTTGGACAATCTTGCAGTGGAAGCAATGTTACCGATTTGTGGCTAATCGCTAATGTTGCTTTTTGTGATAATGTGGTTAATTGCGAACATGACTCTTTGCTAATTTGGCTAATTGCTAATATGACTCTTTCCTAATATGGCTTAATGGTAATGAAGCTCTTTGCTACAACATGCCACGCAACTTTTGTTGAATACTCTATTCAGTGTTTTAACTTTTAACTATGCTGCACTTTTAGTAAATGAAACAACTCCCTCCCATAGGCGGTGAATTTTGTGGAGCACTCCATCAGCTGCAAAGAGAAACTCAACAAGAAGAACAAAACTGGAGCTGCTTTCACAGACGATGGCTTTGCTATGGGTGAGTGGGCTTAAGGGATGAGTGTGTGCTATACAACATGCCTTGTGCTGCGTTGTGGCTGCTCACTTCCTCTGTATTTCCTCTCTTTAATCACTGTATCTCTCGCTCTCAGGCGTGGCGTACATCCTGAAGCTGCTGGACCAGTACCTGGAGTTTGACTCTCTGCACTGGTTCCAGGCGGTCAGAGATAAGTACAAGAAAGAGATGAACGCTGTGGTGAAGGAGCAGAACGTCCAGTCTGCCAGCCAGGACGAGAAGCTGCTGCAGACTATGAACCTCACTCAGAAGAGGCTGGACGTCTACCTTCAGGTACAGCCCCTGTGTCATGTCAACCAAGAGACACAACAACCCCATCTAACTCAGGTTTCAAACAGGAAGTATAATGTTGCCATGGACTCAGGGTTTTTGCCTACATTTTTTACAAATTGGATTAGATGTTGGCATTTCCTGTTTGTAGTTTATCCATGGATGTACAGATTGCTGTCACAAGATGGCTTTGATGCTGAAGAAAACTTAAAAACGTAATGATTCCCAGGCAGCTTCTGACAATTTCAGGAGGGTATTTTCTATGATTTGAAGCTGATTTATGGAACCTTATTCATAAAAGACAAAGGAGATAATTATATCCTCTGGAAGAGTCAGTCAAACTAAATTTAAAAAGGTTGAATTGTGTCTGAATTCATATCTTACTAAGTTTTGTTAACTGACAAAAAGTATATTCATTTTTCAAAACAAGTGGAACTTCCATCAGGATTTATTATAATTTAAATCAATGCACATTATGTCATTTGGACAATCTTGCAGTGGAAGCAATGTTACCAATTTGTGGCTAATCGCTAATGTTGCTTTATGCTAATGTGGTTCATTGTGAACATGACTCTTTGCTAATTTGGCTAATTGCTAATATGACTCTTTCCTAATATGGCTTACTGGTAATGAAGCTCTTTGCTACATGTATATCCTCTGGAAGAGTCAGTTTACATTTATAAAGGTTAAATTGTGTCTGAATCTATATCTTACTAAGTTATGGCTCAGAGTAGGAATACTAACTTTGATGCAATTTACAGGTACGGGTTGTAAAGTACCTTAATTACGTTCAAGAGCTACATTCAAGCTGCTCCAGCTGCTGACCATTGTCCATAAAACAAATCAGCAGGGAATACGACAATCACTAACTTCCTGCTTGTTTAGAACACCTTTCCCTTTAACCTCACTCAGTACATTTGCTTATGTCTATACCTGACAACCTCCGTTGTAGAACCATGGTTCCCTCTCACCTCTTTGTCTTCCTGTCCCTTCAGGAGTTCGAGTTGCTCCACTTCTCGTTGAGCAGCGCCCGGATCTTCTTCAGAGCGGACAAGACCGCCGCCGAGGAGATTCAGGAGAGGAAAGATAAAGGTTAGGTGCTGTAGAGATGATTAATGGAGTCTTTTAATAATGCAATGACTCACTTGTCATTCTTTTAACTGAAGTAGCTTCCAAAGCAGGAGCTCTTTCAGATGGATCGACCCCCGCTGACCCTGCATCAAAGTGACCCCCCCCCTTAACAGCAGACTCATAACCTGAGTACTGTGACATGGCTAGAAGAGGAAGTGGGAAGAGAAGATCTACAGTAGCGGACTGCACTGAAATGTGTGTGTAGTTCAGGGACAAACAGACAATTGAAAGACATTGGTAACGTTCCATGATAAAACAATCATCTTCATTTGAGAATGTGCTCCTGCAGGAAGTGTGATTTTGTTTCCATTGTACAGAAACATCAATGTAAAATCCCAACAGCTTTGAAATGTCTTCTTGAATTTGTAGCATTTACGCAAGCGACTGCAATTTGAAAAAACGGCGGTGCAACAAGTGCAAGGTAAAGTGAAGGCTTTCTTCTGCCCACGTTTTGATACATCCAGTCAGGACTAACTGGATTATTTTTCTACAGTAGAAGCCTCATCTGTATGTATGTCCTCTGCTGATCAGAGACGAAATCAATCAATGACTAATTTGCATCTGTTTTGATTTCAAAGCTTTGCTACAACTCTTTGTGTCCAATGTACTGAATGTGAATGAATGTCCATGGCTTTTAATGGCAGCTGTGTTCTTGATGCCTCTGTAGATTATAGCTCAGTGACGAGGACTCTTCAGAATGTTTTCAATGTATAATCTTCTCACGTTTGGGTGCCATGTTTGTCTACTGCTAGTTTTTGTTTTGTCCATTTTATACATTGTCTGAACTATAGTGTGTATGTGCCTTTCTAAACTGTGGATACTTGTTTCGATAATTAGTTTTAAAATAATAATCTTAATGCACAAGATTCTTGATCTGTGAGTGTAGCATAGTTACAAGTTTCATTACTTCTCTGCAGCACTGGAAGTTTATAATTTCATTTTTATTTCCCAATTTTGTATCTATCATTTGGTACATGGGAAAATGAGGCCACCATTTAGTTAAAAGGGCGTTCTATGAATTGACTTGCTTGAAGAGAAAATGTCTTTCTTAGTCTTTGAAGACTAAATAAAACTTGCACTTTCAATAGAATTTAATGTCTCTCAATGAGTTTGCGATGAAAGTTAAGATGTGTAAAAGCACAGATAACATAACTAATGTTTCCCAGTCTAAACGTTTAACCTGTGTAGTATATAAAACGTAATGGTACATGTTTGCCGGTAATGTGCAAATTAAATAACTGACTGGACAATTTTTACGAATTACCTAAGAGACCAAAAACACACGCACACGCAGCTTTTCATGAAAGCCTTTTCTACTTTAATACAAAGAAAAGAAGCTTTGACTTCAGAAAATACAAGATTGGTCTGGGTTATTTTTTTCTCCTCAATTACAAATGTTTCCGTTTCCTATGAAATGCTGCCGTTCACTGCTGTTCAGCAGCTCGGATTGAAATACCTCCCTTATGATGCGCTTTACTCCAAACTTAAGGGATGATCTCCATGTTTACATTTTCATGTTTGTTTTTTGGGTTAGAATCAGGCCTTTCCTTAAATGACATTTTTAATGTTGTATTATTATTTTGATGTAAGTGCCCGCAGTGCCAAGTGACACCCTGTCCAGCAGATCCAGAAATTACCTGTTGCGTCCACATATTGCATCCATGCTCACCTCATAAAAACGAGGTTAAAGGCAGGGCAACATTTCTTTCAAAATAGATGTCCTATATATACATATATATATATATATACACACATACACATATATATATATATACACATATACATACATATATATATATACACATATACACACACATATATATATATATATATAGAGCAATCATATATACACATTCGTACATACATATACTAAGTTATGTGATGCAAAGAAACAAAAATGTACACATTTCTTACAAAATTGTAACAAAGACTGGAAAGTGTTTTGTTTGCTCCAGAGCAAAGTCGTGTAGCGGTTTAGCCTCTGCGAGAATGTGTCCACATTTGTGAAAACCAAAGCAGTCTCCCAGAGTTGTGTCCATGTTCAACAGAAGTCACAGCGAGAGACGAAGGGAGTATGAGACAGAAATCTGTTGGATGGTGCGAATACAGAGGTTGGAATCAATGGAAGGAAGAAAAATGAAAAGGGTGAGATGAAGAGAGATGCCTTTTGAACGTTGCTTGAAGCCCTGTCCCACAACATGGATAATGATCTGGGAGTGTTCACATAAAAAAAATCACAAACAAATTTTGTGTTCTTTTATTACTAAATATAGTGCAACAATAAACATTGCATTTCTTTCACCCTTTCACTTTCGTCTGAGGATGTTAACTTCCTCGCCTTTTTCTGTTCTTAACACTTGGCGAGGCGTAAACCTTGATCTGTCACTGTCCTGTGCCAAAAAGGTCCGTCCTCCTTTTCTAAAAGAAAACAGGCTTCAGATTCAGAGACGTAAACATAACACAGACCCTGCTGGAAACAAGACAAAAAAACAGGAGGAACATAAAGAATAAAAACAGAACAAGTGTTGGTGTTTTGGGCAGCATGTAATTTTGGAAAGGCAGGGCAGTTTTAATGGTGGCGACGACCCCCGCAGTCAAGATAGTCAAATCCTCGAGGAATAAAAACCGAGCTCTGTGAACCACAGCGCCACCTCCTGGACCAACAGTGTTGTGTGCAGGAACCGCTGCAGCCTTTTGGACTGGTCGGGCCTTAGAAGGCCTGCTGGGCTGGGTTGTAGTTGAATGTTGTCGGCACGTGAGGCCTCTCCTCCAGCTTATCATACTCCAGATGAAATTCCTTAGAAACGCACAAAAAGAGTCAGTAAGAGTTCATGCCATTTATCGCCAGGTGGTGAAAGCGCAACAGAAAGACAATGTCTTACCTTGGCAACTTTCCTCCAGTTAAGACAATCAAAGAAGTAGTAGGTTCCCCTCTCGTATGCGTTGGTCTTCAGTGTGGGCTCCATGCCCGGCGCCCTCGTTATCCAAACCCGCTCCTCTTTGTGGTACCTCCAGTCCCGGTTAAAGCTGGGGGGGGGGGGAAGTTATGAACAAGGAATAAGAGGAAAATAGGGAAGAAACGCAGGGTTCCAGAAAGTTTTGATCCCAAAGAGGGACGAGTCGCTGACAGCCTGACACACAACTTTAAATTGACTGCAAATAGGGCTGGTTAATATAAGAGACTAGATATTGTCTAAGATTTATGATATCCTAAGTGTTGTCTTTCATGAATTGTAGTAAAGTAATGCAATTTTCAGAATGTTCTATCTGTTTTATTATTTGCCTCCCCCCCATTAGTTAATATTTCCACATTACTGATGCCTGAATATGTTGTGAAGCACCAATGGTCCAACCAAGCATATGGTCATAATGTTTATATCAAGGTATTTGTCAAAGATATAGTGGTATATGATTTTCTTCACTTCAAAAGATCTGTCAATAGGGATGGGTACCGAGCCCCGGTATTAAAGGGGCCCTTGGGCTGAATGATTAAATACCGGGTTCCCGTTAAGCTCAGACGTTATCGGTCTTTTTATCGGTACCGGAGACATTTAAAAAATATCTCTATATCTCTAACACACACACACACACACACACACACACACACACACACACACACACACACACACACACACACACACACACACACACACACACACACACACACACACACACACACACACACACACACACACACACACACACACACACACACACACACACACACACACACACACACACACACACACACACACACACACACACACACACACACACACACACACACACACACACACACACACACACACACACACACACACACACACACACACACACACACACACACACACACACACACACACACACACACACACACACACACACACACACACACACACCAAAAGAACCGATAAGAGTACCGTTAAAGGACCGGATCGATAAGCGGTATCGATAAAAGTAGTAGTACCGTTAAAACCTTAACGATACCCATCCCTATCTGTCAATAGTTCAAAAATATTCAAACAGACTGCACATGTTCAAAAAGTTGAGTTGTTTGCCGTTAAATAAGTAATATTGGTGACATTGGTAAGACAGAAACGAATTGCGTTTCCACCAGAGAAGAAACAACATTATCACATTTGGACAGGAACTATTTCCAGTATGAACTAAAGAGAAATTATAGACAACGTTTCTGCAGGTGTCACCATTCAAATGTTAGTACTCACAGCTCTACTGCTGCCAGGAGCTGCAGCAGGTCTCCTCCATTCATGTAGTACAGGTAGAACAACAGGTCCTCGCCATACCGTGCCAGTTTAATTGCTGCCAACTGGAGGCAAGACAGCAGAGAATAAGGAGAGTTAGTTTAGTGGCCACATACAGGAGCTGAAGACTGAAACTGATCTGAAGCTCATAGTTACCTTGTCTCTTATGTGGATATTGGTTAAGTATTCAGATGGAACGTGGAAGTCTGAAAAGACAAGAACCGGTAAGAGTGACTCATGAGTCATTTTATTTGAAAAATATAAGGAACATTTACAATTATGCAACGTTAAAACTTCCCTATGAGAGGGTTTTTTAATAAATGCATCATCTTGGCCTGCCAGTTGTTATATACTAATGAAACATACAGATTCTGTGATAAGCAGTTGAAACACACCTCGTTTTAAAGTTGAAACGTTGAAATACAGTACAGTACATTTTAGTAGATCATAGCCAATGATATATAAAAAATGTGTAGTAATTGTGATATTTGTATACTGCCAAGCCAGGGATGTGTGAGATGATGAGGCGGCTTTATCTTGTTCCTAACAACCTGTCTGGGATCATAAAGATGACTTCAGACAGGCTCTGACTGCCACATCTTAGAGTGCACCTATCATGCTATTTTTAGGCAATAGCATAAGTCTCAGATATATACAAATATATAAAAAACATGTCTATGAAGTGTTTTGCTCAAAATACCAAACAGATCACCCATTCTAGCCATGCCTCATATCCCTCTATTTCACTTCCTGTTTCAAAAGTGCTGATTTTGGGAATAAAGCTTTAAAAAAAAAAAAATTGATAAAAAAAAAAAAGAGGGGGCTGAGCTCATGCGGGAGATTCTACCGGCAGATACTGCGGTGATGAAACGCCATATCATGGATTATCAAGGATTATTTCTGAAACAGTATGGAGCTCAAAGGCTTTGGTTGCAGTCGAATAGTCCAAAAATCAGCTCCTAAGTTCTAACCCTATCGTCTATTCCTTGACCTCGGAGTGAAACGTCATGGGGTTAAGGGATAGTGGATAGGAGAATTCAAAAGGATTTAGGAGAAGAGACTGCGGTACTTTAGAGAATCCGACTGCACTTTCACTATCCGACGTGTTTATGATGCGCCAGCGGACGTCATAAATGTGCGCCTGCTGCTGTGGGGAAACTATGGAAACTACAGTTTTCTATACAGCGGACTACAACATGGATGTTTAATAAGAACGAGGGACTACTGTAAACTCATCTAGAGACTCTGCACCGTGCTCTGATGCTGTTGTTTTATGCTTTATGAACAGGGACAACAGAGAAACATATTCTTCATGACCAAAGTTGGAATTGAAATAAAAAAGGAAAGTGAAACTTATGCTCGTCACCCTCTCCCTCCGGTCCACATTAATACAAATGATCCCAATACGTATGATTGTATGAAAAGATCTTAAAATCAATACAAATGTATTTATTATAAACGTTAGTCCTTAACATCTATCACTGTGTATATCACCATTCAAACATCTTTTTAAAGTTGAACAAACCCCACACAGCTCAGTAAAGACTGTGAAATGTTGACTTTATTTGATCATTTCAGTAAAAACTAATGTTCACATTTCTCTTTTTGATTATAATACTGATGAACGTTCAAAACAAAGCACTTTGGCAAGTTACCACATACGTTTTAAAATGCTTAATAAGCACCGTAACTTTCATGATATAATTTCTAGGTCATAATCGGTTGTTTCCGTTATACGGCTGAATGTTGTGTGACGGCAAATGCAAGGCATTGTGGGGCAGCATTTTCTCCTCTCCTTTCGTAAAGGGAGGTCCAGTAGTTCCTAAGCTAAAGGAGGTTATAAAGGAAGTTTGAAACCTCCTTTCCTTTCATCTAGAGAATTTGAACGGCACTTATCATGGCTGCCACTGAGGGACTTCCGGGTCATTTCACTCCGTTAGGAAGGTTCCTAAGCTAAATGGACTATTCGACTGCAACTTTTCTCTCTTGCCGGTTATACCACAAGGTGAGTTCCTTTTTATATCCAGCTTCTTCACACACATGCTCTCCAGTACAGGTTAGCTCTGAGTGTTAGTGATGCTAATGTAAACACCGACCATATTATGTCCAAAACAGTCGGGCATAGTTTCTGATAGCAACTTTCTGATAGTGCCGTGGGTCCACATTTCCGATATTACGTCATATCGGACGCAAATCTGGATCAGCTCCGTTGTACCCCCGTTTTTAGAGATTTGGGTACGGAGGAAAAGAGAGAGGGTTTTATTTTCTGACGCTGCGTGAGTTCCCTGACACACCGGGGACACATATTTATGTATAAAAGACATCAACAAGTGCATTTTGCATGATAGGTCCCCTTTAAAAGCTATTGCTGAATGCCAATTGATCACTAAATGAAGGCAGGTATTAAACATTAAAAAGTAATCCTCCCGCTTATAATTCACACGAATGTCTTACCAATGTCTTGAGGTCGACATGGCGACGAGGCCCAAGGCGAGGCGAACTTAGGGTACAAGTTTCTGTCAGGAAAGAAAGCTGATGTGAGTTCTTGACACTGGACATTGAAACGGAACAATTTCTAGAAATATTTCATATAAAACAGATATATTGGACATAAAGTAAGTGTAGGTTGTGATAAATGTTATTTTTGGGACAAGAACGTTTAAAGAAGTCATGCACAGAGCCAATTATGTCCCACTGTCCAAAATGGCATGCCAGCTTAAAAAAAAAGAGGGGTCTTGTTTAGACTAAAAGCTGAGTTTAACTAAGATTTATTCAGTGAAAAGAAAACTTCATGCAATTGTAACCATGGAAACCCTGTGTATTCATCATGTTTTATAGGTTATGGAACATTTAAATGGGCTGCGGTGTTTCATGACGGGGTTTTTGGACTAGTTCGAATCATTTCTAGACCATACACCTGGTGGCTAAAAAAAACTTAAATGTGACTGTATCTAGGGTAGAACCTCTGTCTTACTCTGGTGAGTTTAAGTTGAGTCCCAGTGTCGTGAGGTCACTTCCTAGCGCCAGATGGACCATCCCCGGATCAGTCTCTGCCGCCCGGATAAATGTCAGCAAGCCAATCATGCCGAATTGGTCCGTCACCATTCCTGAGGGAATATTCGTCACCCGACCTGCAGCAGCCGGATAATTGAGAGTTCAAGAAAGCGCTGGGCTGCGGACTACACTTAATACTTACTGTCAATACATTACCTCCATATTTAAAACCCACACTTTGTGCACGTATTGGAGAGCAAACCAAGCCAATTGTTTTTTCTTAACATGTCATGGTCACAGACAGACTAATGGAAGGATGATAATGGTCTGTACCATTTTGAACATATTCTTTGTGGTTTCCTCACTGCAGCCTATCCAATAATTATCTAACCCCAAATGCAGGGTAGAGAGCCCAACTGCCTCACCCAAGTTGTGCGATTAAGAAGGGATGTCTCAGTGGAATTGGAGCGATACGATTGGCTGAGGAGTCTCACCATCGGGCAACACCTGGATCCCTTTCTTCTGGTTGTTGTTCTGTGCTGAGGTCGTCTTGTCTCCCGGGAACTTCGGTCCATCTGCATTCGATGTGCTCTTGGTTACGGAGTTCAAGTTCTAAAATCAAAGAAAAACAGTTATAAAAAAACTGAAATAAAAAGAAAAAGAACAATATTTTTTTAAAACCCATGATGATTAACAGACATCCTTCCAGATTGTGCTGCAGAGACCACCAGTCGCTCACACTTACCGTTTTGGCGTCATCGTTGCTCAACGAGGGGTCCTTATAGTTCGGGCCAGGCAGTGCAGGGAAGTCCTCGTTGTGGATGGAGAAATCCTGCGTCTGTTCTGTTGAAGCCTTTGTCACCATGCCAACTTGATGATGAACACAGTGAAGCAGAGATTATAATTCCCCGAAGTGTAATGAGCAATTAATCACAACAAAAAGGTCATCACAAGCTATTCTGTGGATGTGCATTAAAGCAAAGCCTTGGCTAGTATTATCAACCCAATCAAGGAGCTAATATCTATTTCCTTTCCTAGGGGAACCTACTTCCTATAGCTTTATGTGTGTAACAGTAAGACACTTTCTGCGGCCTAATGGCCTACCATAAGGAGCCCGTCCAGCCAGTGGGTTGAGCACCGGTGTTGGGTTTCCCGTCCCTTCTCTCCGACTCCTGTCTGCTAACGCAGGGAAGTCTGACAGATCCAGTCCCGTTACATTTTCACTCCCATCTGCAGTAATAGGAAGGTTAGGAACTTGTAATGTCACCTTCAACTCAATGTAACTACTTGAGATTGTAATTGTATTAATAAAATAGCCCACCCTCCCCTGAGTAATAACTGCTGACTAAACCAAACAGCTCATTTGTACAGTAGTTACCTACCGTCAGTTTCAGCAGTCAAAGATTAACTTACATTATGTCCAGAAAATAAATGTATTTTCACCAACAAATACCAAAGTTTGATTCTAACTCTGGCCTCGCGCCGCCGGCACTTAAAAGCAGTTGTGCCTCTTGCTTAGAGAAGACACTAACTTTATTTTACAGGAACCAGGTCATCACATCAACGGTTCTGAAGCTCCTCCAGCAAGGTGTGTTTATGTATGTAATCCTCACTTTGTATTCAATTTAAACCACAGAAGTTTTTGTTTGAATAAAAACCCCAAACTAATGATCCTTTGGTATACCCACCTGAGGTAAACACACTAACCTGTGCCATTGAAGATGCTGCTCGATAACGAGTTGGGCATCCCAAAAGCCTGATTTCGGTTCATACCAAACCCCGACATGCTGCACAGATGAAAGAAAAACAAAACAAAGCATGAGCTTCAAAAACAGAACTTTCCTTAAAATCAAAAAACATGTATATTAGAAACTGTAGGGAACAAAAAGAACAGCAGATCGCTACAAAGACCCGTCTACCTGTTTATGGTGAAGGGCTGGCGCGCTGGCTGCTGTTTGGGCATACAGATGATACTTGGCGAGCTTCGGTTCGGACTGCCAAGCCCCGAGCTGCTCATACTATTGGTCCTGCCGCTCATCCCAATACTTTGACCGACCTGAGAGTGGTTTAGCATGTTTCTCGTGTTCATTGGCAACGACCCCCTGTTAAAACATCAATAGGTCAGATTTAGAGCTCACGTCATGTGATTTGCCTTTCTATTCCCAGGTTATTATTTATTGTTATAAGCCAGCCACACAAGTTTGAATCCAAACTCAGTTATCAAACTCACAAAAAAAGTGAGCACTTTTATACTAACCTGCTTGGTGATGGAGGGGTATGGAGGGACATGGTGGGGACCCCCGTTGTGGGGGTGATATGACTTGGTAACTGCGAGCCTTGCGTTAGATTTCGGTTTAACTGAGGCGTACTATTCCCCATGCCTCTTACTGAGAAGCCGAGTGCACCTGCAGAAAAACAGGGAGAGAAACAAATACTGTCAGACCAATCAGACAAGATTTCTCTGCAATGTGTCCTGCATTCAAATGCAAGTAGGTTTTAAGGTTTAATAAGACTTCCTGAGCTAAACTGGAATGATGCAAATATGCTATATATGAGAAAACTGATTTGTGAGTGTAAAGGAAAAAACAACACTTACTTTGTGGACCGTACAAACTCGCACCAAGCTGCGACAGCTGACCCGACGACGATGGCGAGGGAGACGACAGCATCTGAAGGAAAACATTTGAGGACTAGAAAGAGTAAGATAACTAGAAAACGTCTCCAATGGTGTCAACACTTGAAATGAGAGAAGTTTGTGAATAATGAAAAAACTCACATCTTTGTCCGACCGATGTGGGAACATCGACTGCTGGCTGTAGTACATGCTTTCGTCCGAGAAGTCATTATCGACTACCTCAACGAACTCGACAAATTTCTTTCTAGCACCAAACATGCCTTATGTCACCTGAAGAGGGAGGGAGAGAGAGCAGAGCTGTTGTCAAATATTTGCGAGGGAAGGAAGTATGGTCATGGATCAAAAACTGTACAAACACAAATACAATGTTTCAGTAAAGTTAACAATTATAATCTAAATACACCGATTCCACTTCAAAACATCAAGTTAAAAACATCTGTTGTTTTTATAACAGTAGACAACCTATCATCTGGATGTCCCAACACTTTACTGATATTATCAACTTTTATAAACAAAGGACACGGTTTTTCACGAGTGCACATTTTAATCAAATTCAACTTTCTGAATGCATAATTTATTTTCATTTTTTCCTAAATCCCTTTAACACGTTTGGCATCTTGTGGATGTTTAGTACAAAGTTTTGAACAGTATGTGTGTCTACTTTTGAATGATGTAAACGCATTAAGGAAGAACATTATGATATTCCATAAGAACACACTTTTCATCTCATCTTAAACATGTATTAAATAAGCTGGCAGCTCAATTATTTTCCTTCCTTAACTACTATGCTGAATGATAATTTCCAAATAGATTAGATACCTAATTTGACACTGTTGAGAAATGTACCAGCAGCAATGCTAACATGCTAGTTAGCCAACTCCAGTGTAGTTAGCAAGCTAAGTGCTTGTAATCAATCTGTGTTAGCTTAGCAAGCGGGCTGCCTTAACAAGGAGCCAAGTACCACAACATAACGAAACATTTTAACTCCAACACACAGCGACTTGTCTACCAAGCAGCGGGCACTATAAGGCAGTAATGTGGGCCTTTTCTGCCTCCATATAGCCAGTCAGCTGTGCTTTTTCTCGGCACAGTTTACGCTCCGTTTGCAGCAGCAGCAGCGACAATCTGCTGAAGCTAAAGGCTAACGATTCGCTCTGTATCCAAACCTGGGGAAACAGCGACGGAAATCGCTTATACAGAAGGCCTAATTATGACCCAAACTGTGTTAATATGACTAAAAATAAGTAAAATATCCTCACCGCATCAATTTCCCTTCTCTACGTTAGATCCAAGATGGCTGTGTGTATTCACAATCGAAAGAAGGATAGCCTTTACCCTCTGACCTTACAACCGGCTGACCACTTCCGTACACAAATCTGAAAATATGAGAAAGTGCACTCCGTTAGTCCCACAGAGACTAAACAGACACCAAGAACTGAACAAAACAAAACACATAGAAAAGTGTTTGCTTTTAGCAGGGAATATAAGACACCGCCGTCTCTACCTCCTTCCTGTGGTCATAATAACGTGTATGCATTACAATACTGTGAAGCTGCATTCAATACAGACATAATATGCCTCTTTTATTAACATTGTCAGGATATCCAGATAAAATATATTTGGTCAACTGTTCCTCAAGATATTGGCATTAGATTCCGATTTCAAGCTGTTTTTTCTCAGGGCCTTACCAACCAGGCAAATTGTCCACCAGGGGACCCTAAAGTTCCCTTCATTACTTTGTATTCATTTGTTTTCTAGTAGGATAAGTACCCAATAAGCATTTTTTTGCTACATATTTCCCATGACAGGTTAATTAGCAAGATGCTCAAATATTGAGTTATTATACATAATTATCCTTTTGTTGCAACATTTGAATTGGAGTGACCATGCATCGCTGCATCGCTGCCTCTTAAGCTTAAGTAGGTATGATTAAACCTGAAGGCTCATGGACGTTTTTTTCCACCACAAATGTTGACTAGTTATGGCAGAAAAAGCAGGTCAAAGATAACATTAATAAAGACAAAGGGAAATTAATAAGACATGTGCTCCTCCTGCTATTACATAGAAACATTTCTGGCACAAAAAAGGTTTACTAACATAGTTACATTGTTATTTCTGTGTACTCGGTATGGGTTGCACTGTTGCCTGCTTGAGGCGCCCACGCAGTGGATAAGGGGAAGGACAAGTGCTAAAAACAGTCTGTCAGTGAGTTAAAACAGACAAGGGCCAAGCAGTGTCCCCTTCTGATAAGGAAAATGAAATTCCTTCTCAGTATTATCTATTTGGAAAATAGCCCTAATGAAGGTATGCAACATAACATAGTAAATCACACCTCAGGCAGTCCAGGAGTAAACCCTGCTCCAGGAAAGATAAATAGGAAATGATATTGGGCTTTAATGCCTACATTGAAAACTGAAATATGAGCACCTGCATTTGGAGGGGTATGGCACTGATGTCTTCACTCAACAATGATTGCACAGTTGATGTTCAAACAGATTAAATGTGGCACTGACAAAACACAGACCTGCAGAGCCATGCACCCTCCACCACACCTCACTACACCTTTCAGTTTTCATGGGGACCTGTAAATTAATTTCCCTTCCCTTCAAAAACACTCAATCATTTACTTCAATTGAGGTCAGAGCAAAACACAAAAAACTCTCTCCCTGTGAACATTGACAAATTCTCTAAATTATTCCACATTACAGGCCCACTTGTCTGGCCCAGTGGAATAGACCCAAAACTGCGTCTGGGCCCGATTATAACATCATGTAAATGACCTTCGCTGCTCTTTCATCACAACGCATGGTTGCTTGCACCCTGCCCCTCCCTTTGTCTCCCTCTCCCACCTCTGTCATCTCAGAGAAGAAGGGGGGAAAGTCATTAGGCACAAATGGGGAGGAGAGAGTAGCTAGTGGTTGCTATCGCCATGAAAGTCAGGGCAAAGCTCAGAGCCACTGAGCGATATGAGAGGACTACACTGGGGAATATCTGCCCTGGGAAAACAATGTTTTCAGCCCATTAAGTTGGATAAACAAATGGCTTACTGTAGGTGCTGAAAGGCGTGGACACCAGCAGGAAAACAGTGGAAAGTAAGTGTTTTTAATTGTCATACGATCATCTTTACGCTTAATATGGTCTCTGTTTCCTTGCTGATGGTTGTTTTCTTTGTTATTTTCATGGCTTCTCTCACATACAAGGGTGTACTTCAACGTCATAATCAAGTTATTTCTGATACATGCAGTCTCATATGCTAATGCAGTACAACAAAGATGCATTACATTGTTGCAACTTTGTTTTGTTTCTCTCAAGATCAATAACTCCAGAAGGGCGGTGGAGCAGCATTAATGGGATGCCATGATATTTACTTGAAGACGCCAACTGCCTACCTCAGTGAAACCCTTTGTCTGGCACTAAATTGATGAGGAGGACCATTGGTGTTTCAGAGACTGGTAGAGATGGGTAATGCCATGCGGGGCGTAGTTGCGTTCATTCCCTCAGAGCGCTGTCAACGCTTCCTGGTGGGGGACCTGAAGGAGATGCCACTTGATCGGACCCTGGACCTCAGCAGCCGGCAGTTGCGTCGGCTACCTGTTGCTGCCTGTGTTTTCGGTGAGCTGGTAAAGCTCTACCTGAGTGACAACAACCTCAGCAGTTTACCAGCTGATCTGCAGGGCCTGAAGAAGCTGCAGCTCCTTGCCCTCGACTTCAACTGCTTTGAAGAGCTCCCTGCAGCTGTTTGCAGACTGCCTCAGCTGAGCATCCTTTACCTGGGCAACAACAGGCTCTACAGTCTCCCCAGAGAACTAAGAGAGCTCAAGGAGCTTAATACTCTGTGGCTGGAGACTAATTGCTTCACTGTTTTCCCTCAGGTGATTTGTGAGCTCCCTAATCTCAAGACCCTGCACCTTGGTTATAACCAGATACAGAGTTTACCAAGAGAGCTTGGAGTGCTGGAAGAGCTGAGAAGTATCTGGATTGCTGGGAACCAGCTGGCAGCGTTCCCACCAGTGTTGCTGGAAATGCACTTTCTAGCCGTCATTGATGTTGATCGGAACCAAATACGCTACTTCCCCTGCCTGTCTCACATGCTGGGGTTGAAACTTGTCATCTATGACCACAACCCCTGTGTTAACGCCCCGGTGGTGGGCGAGGGATGCAGGAGAGTCGGGCGCTGGGCAGACAGCTCAGATGATGAGCAGGAAGATGATGGGTCAAAAGCAGCGGGTGACACTACAGTAGAGGTCACAGAGGTACACCCTGAGGAGGAGCACAACATTTAGGGTCAAGGAACAAAGTGACCTGAAGCTGTGACGAGGCGTGGGTGACATTCAAGTGGAACACTTGACGCTGAGTGGTGTGTTGTACACAAGGCTGATGGCATGTGGTCTATATATGGTAAAGGAAAGTTGTTGTAAAAACCATGTGAGTCAAAGGGGACGTTTGATAATGATTCTATAAAATGTTGGGGCCTTATTTGAATTAGTAAAACTCTGTAAATGGATTCAATGAAAGCTTCAGTGACATTGGAAATGTAATTCCCACCAACATCAGATGTTCTGTAATTCAAACATTTTAAACATCTTTATCTTATGGTATTAAACATATATCTTGTGATCTTTCCAAGTTTTGTACGATGAATCCATCAGAACTGGCATTTGTACAGTATGTCGACTTGATAAACTGTGTGAGTGCAAAAGACTTCTGTTAAATTGACAGCGCAGTTGGGCGGTATGGCAGAGATGGAGGAAATAGAAAGGATTCATTACACTCATGTTGTTGAAGCTGAGTATGAGATGATATCTGTACCTACTGAGGCCAAATACAGTGAGGTTTTTAATACAAGTGATGGATGGTTTTAATACAATTAGTGCACTCCTTATCCAGACCAATGCATAATTCATCGGATAGATTGGGGCTGTGGCTTTGAATAAAGGCTGCTAATGGGCTTGAATATCTTCAGCATAAGGTTCAGATTTGAAACAGATCGTAAATGCACTTTTCCAATTCCTCAGCATACCAGGAAAATGTTCTGCAAACAAGATGAAATGTCATCCCACAATGAATCATTTCAGGGATTTGGAATGCTTCTTAACGGAGCGTAGGAAAATAAATTAAAAAAGGTTGCACACCAGCCCTTTTCCTGGAAACGTGATTATTTCACACAGCATGAACACACTAAACTACTGTAACCATATTGAATGAAACAACTATTTGATTTTTCTGCATGTAATCCTAGAGGTTCTACGAACATGACATCATTCTAAGTTATACAAATGCTGTTCAGTGTGTGTAAAAGATACACATCTCGATACTGTTACACTGCCCCCTAGCATGCCTAAATTCAAAGACGTCACTAAATGTGGATTTTACAGTACTCTGGCTCTGGGTGTGACTAATAACTGGGCGCAGCGAGGGGCACTGTAAAATCAAAAATGGTGTTTTCATCAATGTGTATTTAATATCACACTTGATCAATTCTCAATTATCTTTTATAAATTGTCAATTGACAAGATTAGTCAAAACACTTACCGATTTTTAACCTAATGAGGATTTTTATCAGAATGATATGAAAAAATATTTGAAAGGTTTGCCTTATTCTATTATGTTAAAAAGAAAGGACTTTGCCGTATTTGTATATGTGGTGTTTGGAGTAAGGAAATGTTTAATTATTGTTCGATAACCAAAATTCGATAATTCAAAGATAACTTTGTTTTGGTCATTGTCATGTACACTTTAACAAAATAATGAAGTGTATTAATAGGCATCCATTTTGTTTGAAAAAACGGTTACTGTTTTAAAAAATATTCTCTGATTTATTAACCTATACATTATCAATATACACTTCTATGAGAGTACAAATGTTTTTATATGGTTGTCAGATTTGGGTTTCTAAATCTTAAATAGTGTACAATCTCATTCCTTGTAGGACTTTAATATTTTGCCACCCCTGTTAAAGCACAAAAATGCAAAGAAATTTACAAAAACAAAGTAATATTTTGAAGCGGCTTTATTGTTTGACAGGAATGTCACCCAAACATAAACAAGAAAGTTCATTTTTGATTGTTCAACACATGCACGTAGAGACAGTATAACTTTAGGTCATTTGCAAGGATATTATTCATGACACAATCCAAATGTACTTACTATGATTACATCATATTTGACAATATCTTTGGTTCCGAACCCTGTGTAAACACAACTTAACTGAACTCAAACTCTTAAATACATTTTTGCTTAAACCATAAACCTCCATGTGTTAAACACCTTTACTTTATAGCTCTCACAACCAGTATTTCAACAAAGTAACTTAACTTACTGTTCCTTAATATTAAATACAAACATGGTTAATTGACAGACATATATTACTTAAAAGATCCATCTTACATTTCTTGGTGATTTGTCATTATGAACAAATAAACAAATCCCCAACAGGAAATTGCAACGTTTCAACTGCACTGTAGCATATACTGGATAGAGAGGAATGATGATGATGCAATGAAGTAAAAGCGTTGAAACATTCACTTCATATGCTGTGGCTGTAAAACCACCGTATTTACTGAGACAAAATGCCTCTTTTTGCAAGCTTAAAATGTATATTGAATCACAACATGTTCTTTATTTACCTCAGGCCGGACGCATTGCACATATTTTCAAAGGAGGTTATTAAAACAATGACACTTTATGGGATCATTTTCCAAATCTAATTGGTCTGAGAGAGCCTCGGTGAAATCACAAGGCTTGGTTTTGTGGATTCTCTAAAAGGGTGTGCAACATTCTTTCATTAATTCAACCATTTTAAACTTGCATTTCAAGTACGCTGAAGCTACATTAGAACCCCGTCTACTGATATTTGACCTGGTAATACAGAGAGTGCGTACAGGCATAGAAGCAGTAAAACATGGGCAGGTTCAACTAACTTTAAAAGGGTGTATTACAATATTTGTGTAACAACTGAATAGTAATGCCACATTCCTGTAGGCATTACAATGGACAATGGAATGTGGTATATCCTGCTATAGGCTTCATGAAAAGAAAGATGGAAAAACATAGACCTTTATAAGTGCTGTACACAATAAGCAGAAAGAAATGAGAAGAGCTCAAAGTTGCAATGAGGTAAAGTCTTCTCAACACGAGATAATAAGCATTAGTTTGTTAGCTAAAACAACACAGGTATTTAGTCATCATGCATCTGCATCTATGCTGACTCATCAGTGGGTTTGCTGAAGAGTGATGCAAAATGGAGCGTATACTATTGGTGCTTAGGTTGTCTGCAGCGGCATGGGTCACAGGCTCATCCAGGGCCCGAGTCTCTGTCGCAGGGTGGTCTCACCCTGGGAAGGCAGCTGGCATCCCTCCAACCCGTCTGAGCCGTCTTCCCCCGTGGGCACCAAAGAGTCATGAGACCCTTCCTCTGACTCTTCCTCCTTGGTGTCCGGTGCATCAGACCCTAAGGCATCTGGGATTTCTGGGGGCTCCTTTGATGATGCTTCCACCACCGTGTCATTTCCCTGAAAATCAGAGGCCTCGTTCACAGAACCAATCACTTGGGGAGAACAGAGGTCCTTCTGTGAATTTTCCTTATCCATGCGCTTCCGGGCCTCCTCTCTCCTCTGCTGGATTCGGGTGTTGTCCCCCATCATAACCCTTACTCTAACTTGCTCTGGAGGCCAGATCCCCCCCCAGATAAACTGCAGGTAGCTGAACAGCACAATGGCACTGAGGAAGGCAAAGTTGGTGGCCACGCCGATGACTGCAGATGTCAGGGGGAAGTTGTACAGAACATATCTTATACCAGTGAAGAAAGCATGGATACGGAGTTGAGATGAGTAGATCTGCACTCGTTTGGACTGGATCTCAATGACTGCACCAACAGAGGGTTGATAAGCGTTTGTCTTGTAGTCTGAGAAGAGCTCGACCTGAATGAGCTGCTTCTGCTCAGACATGCCAGTCAGAAGGAAAGGAGAGAACAGTAAAGTGCCCAGGCTCTGCAGAAGGCTGGATCGGTAATGCAGCATTGTAGATCGGCCCACTGATGAGACAATCTTCCCACCCTTGGTGTAGCAAGACATCTTGACCATGAACATGCCCAAGTGTTCATTGACAGGGGATTCGGGCATCTCTAACTCTAACGACACCCGATAAGGCTGACCGTAAGCCATCACTTGGTCCCTCTCGTTCTTCATGAAGGAGATGTTGGCCATGGGGAATGAACAGAGTGTGGACTCTGAGGAATCACAATCTGAAGTGTAGTAGAAGTGCACAGGGGTGGAGAAGCTCACAGTGGGCATGTAGGAGTAGTAGAAGCTTCCATAGAGAAAGATGGACACCCATAGTAGCAGAAACAGGACACAGAAGAGGATGCCAGCCTGAAATAGTGTCCGCCGGGCTTTGAGGAGGGTCACAGCTGCAACATCCTGCATCCAGTGTAGCGCCGGTCCCATCGTAGCACCCATCGTGTCTGCTCCGGACCGTTGTTGGCTCCTTGTTTGTGAAGTTGTTCGTCCTTCGAGCCCCCTCGACTGCTGCTGCCTCCTTGGTGGGTCTTTATATTCATTCATCGGTGGGCGTCTTCCCTCCGAAACTGTGAAATCGCTTATCTCCAGCCTCCCATGTCTGCTGAACTAACAACACACTCACTCAGCTCAGGTTGAGTTTGTTCTTGTTAAGCTAGATTGTTTTACAAATGTAAATAAGCTAACGTTACTCGGCCAAAATATCCACGACTCCGAAAGGTGATACGTTTTAGTTGTCTCCCAGACTCGTTTGGTGAGTTTCTAAGCTCGTTAGCAACTCAGCTAGCCTTTAAACATAGCTTCTACTGTACACAAAACATGACCCTACGAACCGGAAGCTGATGTTCTCTTTCTTCTGTGCCACTCCGGAGCAGCAAGACAGAGCCGCAACACCGACGCCAGGGAAGGGAGCAGACCCCCAGACTGAGAGACTGCGATGGGTAAGAAAAGTCGCCTCACAGGCGGAGCGGTCGGTCGGAGAACGATCCTTCAGCTTTCACCTCCCGGGCTCCGCGGTGGAGAGAGGGAAGAAGCCCCCTCGGGATCTGATGGTATTCTTTACTGTTACCTCAGTGGCTTTTTAGCGACAGGCTAGCTGAATGCTAAATGCGTGAGGTGTGCAGATAGGGCCCATCTCGTAAAAAACGATTTATTCCACTAAATGTAGCTGCCACATTAATAACTTTCGCGAAAAAAAAGCAATTTTACGAAATATATCTCAATGATAGTAAAATGTTAGCTTATGAAACGAAATAATACATTTTTATTTTAGCTATTGGCTAACATGCTAAGTAAGCAAGCTAGTTTTTTGTGAACATGCCAAAACAGGCTTATGGCAAATCACTGGGCCAGCTTAACCACATGTAATGAAACTCCCTAATTAAAATATACTGACATTTAACTTGCTTTAGTAGTGTGAGTGTGGTGTCTGTATGGGAGAATGGCGTTAGCTTCTAGCTTAACTAGCTCGCTGTAGCAGCTGTTTAGCCCAATGCTAACCTCTGGGCTGACATTTTTGCAGACGAACAGGAGGGTAATGGACTCAGATTCGTGAGAGATAGAATAACAAACATGAAGAATCCCGCAGTAAAGGCCACGGGTAAGAGTAAATGTGTCTATATGCGGAGCTGTTTTTCTTTATCATGCAATGGAAAACGTTTTGATCTGACACAGTTGTTTTGTGTCCACCTTTAGAGGGTTTGTCCTTGCTTGGAGCGTATGATGATAGTGATGAAGAGGATGATGGAGACTCGCAGATTGTTATGGCGAAGTCAACTGACATCGACAGTACATTGGCTAATTTCATGGCTGTAAGTACAATTTGCATAATATTGTATTGA